GGAATAGCCTATTTACTAATAACTTACCCATGAAATAGTTTTCAGTGACTGCTCTTGTTTTCCATAAACTCTTCCTTTCACCTGTTTGTCTTCCTCATAAGCGCATCTTCCTCTTTGCTTGTGACCTTTGCTGTATCTGTTATACTTGTTCTTCCTCTCCTCTCCCCTTGTCTCTCCTGTTCTTTCCGTTCCCTGTCCTCCTTGTCCCTATGCAGACATTGCTCAGATAACTCCTTTGTTGCCAGGCGCGAGACGTTTGAAATTGACGATGACTGCGATAGTCTGACATGGGAGGAGAACGAGGAGACTCTGTTGCTGTGGGAGGACTTCGCAAACTACAACTTACCGGGCAGCATCACCGGAACGGCCGGCGCGACCGCCTGCGCCTCCAATGGTAACGGTGCAGCCGCTTATCCGGTGAGGCCTGTCTGCATTTACGGTCCTTTTGCAAAGTATATGGTTTTTAAACTCATGCAAGGCGGGTGCTGTGTCAGACATTTACTCATGCATGATGAATGAGACTTCTGTCTGTGCTCTCTAAGGACTCCCAGGATGGAAGTCTTGGCAGCCTCATTGATGAAACAGAGTCTCTATTTAAGACCAGAGAGCAGGAGTACCAGGAGAGCATCGGCGAGATCGAGGTAGACGATGTAGACTTGCAAGCACAAAGCCAGCGAACCAAAAACACAAACAACAAGAAACATTAGCCGTGGACAATGCAAAGAAATATTGGAAAACATTTTGATGACTATTTGTGAAGTTGAATTGGCAGTGATGTCCAACGTTGCAGTTTGATTTACAACCAACATATTGTATCATTTCCTGTTAGTTTCAATTGGTAAAGTATGTTGATATTTTTCTATATTAACTGCCAAAACAGTGTATTATAATGTTTAATATACAGTACATACTGTATAGAATTATTATGTACAGTAGTATGGATTTGGGACAAAGCTGCTGAGTCAAGGACATACTCCATATTTTGATCTATTGTTCTGAAACATGTTATACTATAATATATTGTATTATTTTGAGATATTAGGGTGTTTCAGGGGAGAGTGCATTTAAAATGTTAATAAAGCTACTGATGGCCTAGCTTCAGTCACTCCCCCTCACCACCCCAGTCTCTCACATCCTCACTCTGTTTAATCCATTTCCGACTCCTAGATGGAATTGGCCACGGCAAAGAGTGACATGAACCGACATCTGCACGAGTACATGGAGATGTGCAGCATGAAACGAGGCCTGGACGTGCAGATGGAGACCTGTCGGCGGATGATTAAAGGCGGCCGGAACTCTCCCTCTGCCAGCTCTGTGGCCAGCAGCGACTCAGGGAACACAGACGAGATCCAGGACGAGATCTCGGACAAGGACGCAGAGGCTCAAGTCCCCATTAGTTGATGGCTGCACAGCCGGCCGTTGTCCCATCTCTTCCTAAACACCCCTCGTCACCACAGGGGTCAAATGTGTACAGAGCTCCACCCTGTTAGAGAGGTGGAGCAACCTAACTCTGGGCCTGTTTGACCTTTTAAAGTTCTGATGGTCATGCTCACTCTTGCAGGACCTGAACTGGTGCTTTAATACTATTTATTTTGTTAGGAAGTGGGGGTGGTGGTGGTGGGGGGGGGGGGGGGGGGGGGGCTTCCCAAAGA